TCTATTAATAGTTTTTTTTCTTCTTTCTCTCCCAGCTTAGTCTTTCTTCTTGTTTCGTCAAGGAATCACACTCCAGCTCAGTAGGTGGCGGGAATGCACCTTTTTGTTTGTTTGCCAACCGCTATAAAAAGCCGGAAGAAGAAGAATACATAAACCCCTTGTTCAAATACCCACACTTGCGGTCTTGGCCACTTGAGAGCGCGTGCGCGCGACAGGAAGTAAGAGCGCAAGACTGTCCCAGGTCTTAAAAACGCCAGAGCGCAGTGCCCTTAACGCACACTAACCACTATCCACACTATCTCGAATACCGCTCCGATACGTCATATAAGTAGTCAAGTGCAAAGACCGCAAGTGTGGGTATTTGGACAAGGTTAAAAAATACAACGCGGACTATTGTGTTTCCCGGAGTTTTATTCAGTCAATTTATATTGGACATTTTACCAGTATTGACGACAGTTAATTCTATTTTTTCTTACATGTATTTTGCTTGTTTGTTGTTGAGGGGTTGAATGAGATCGACTAAAAATAAGTACAAATAAACTACAAATAATTACAAATGTTCAGTTGTTTCAAAGTCCCTTCAAGGGTATTCTATTTTCTTTGGTTGTTTTAACTGCACGCAACGAAGGGAACGTTTTGGTTGGCCAACTACTAAACGTTCGCCACTTCAGCGTTATCCAGTGAGCGGTGTGCTTCGTCTCTTCTTAAGACATTAAAATACTGTCGAACGTTATTTTAAACGAGAAAGGAAATGGAGGTAAACGTCGACGCTTCAAATCCCGCAGTGATCGCTGACGTCTCGTTCTCGTTTCAAGATGAACTGACTGCGACCCTGCAGAACGCGCTCGGTGTCGCGGTAGAGATCGCCGTCGCGGAGATCACCAGACTGCTGGACAGAGCGCTCAGAGACGTGCGAGGCAAAATTCAAGAGGCTCTGCGGGACAACAGTGCGCTCAAGTTTAGGCTACAAACAGCTGAAACACAACTTTTTAATGTGTGTGGTCGCCTGAATCAACAGCCACAGAGACTCGAAGATTTTAACGTTAGCAGTCAGCTGGTGACGACCCCCATCAGCTGCAGCAGGGTTCAGCGCGGGGGTCCACAGTTAAATACCCGTAATAATGTCCGGCAACAAACCGAGTCCGCTGTGGACTCGGAACATGTTTATGAGGTTTGTGGACCCAAGGAAACTGATGTATTTCAGCGAGGATCAGTCTGTGGGAACCCCCAAGGAGGCGCATGCGCTCAGGCTTCGAACTCGCTTGAAGAATCAACCCCCTATAGATTAGATGAGGCAAATGGTAAGATATTCGGAGACGATTAAAATGCGTACGTTTAAAGGCTTAAACCACTTACAATTACCGCATGTCAATGATTTCGCAATAACAAACCGCCCCTGTAACACCTGGCACATTTTGGCTTCATGTTTACTCGTTGCTTGTGCATTTATAACCCTGGTGGGTTGTTATTACCCATAGCTTTGGTGCTGTCGCAGTGGTGGTATCTATATACACTCGTATGATAGTGTTCAGGTTTAAAGTTGTTTAAAACATGCAATTTTTACAGAAAAAAAGGACTATTAAAAACGCTAGAGAAAAGAAACTGTTAATTGGTAAACCAAGTTACCAAACCATGTACGTTTTTTTTATCACATTAAGTTCAGATGCAAAAGCCTCTAAATGCCATCTGAAATTTTCTTCTACAATGAGCATTTTTATCAGGCCCCTATATTTATGTTAAGTTTTTCACTTTAATTACACTAATAAGATACAAACCAGCTAGTGCTAATTTATTGAGTTTTACTTGAGTTGTTACGCCTGCTAACCAAAGTCCAAGTCAGTCAGGTGTATGGTATAGCATAGATTCAAAGCACAGGGGAAAGATGGGATCAATGCAATGCTATTTTTGTTTTGTAGATTGAATCAGTTTGTGAAATTCTGTTACTGATCACTTCTGTATAGCAATTAATAAATCTTGCATTTGCATTTTAGACAATATTATCCAACCCTGGGAGGAATCTCTGTTTAGGATTGTGGTGCCATAAATCTCTGTCTTTCTGCTCTCGGCTTTGTGCAAGTTAGTTTCCAGTAGTTTGCTTTATCCTTGCTACAATCACCTTCCAAGCAGATGAAACAAAACCGGTGGAAGCATGATGTGCATGTTACAAACTTGCATCCCTTTTCATGCATAATCAGATTATGACACTTAGGACAGGCTCTGAACGTTGGACAACCAAACACTTTGCTCTGTGGATCTGATACCAAGTCACAGGTTAGCAGTGTGGAGACGAGGGGGCACAGCTTGTTGGTGCAGGCAGCAGAAGTGCAGGGGTAAAGGCAGGAGCCACACCGGAGCTGAGTGGTCGGCCATCGAGTGCACTGAAGCAGTTCAGTAGTACCTTTTATACATGCAGGTTTAAGTGCAGAGAAAATGGAAAATGCAAGACATGGGTGGAAATTAATAAATATTTACAACTTCATGACACCATGTTGAGTTTGGTTCAGATGCCGTTGATGAAAATGAAATGAAGTAAATATACAGTGCTTACTGTGTTTGTGGGATCTAGTTTGTTTCCATCTTCCTGAGTTCCAAAAGTGTTTATGGATTGGTTATTCATTATAGATTGAGTTAGAGGTCGACCGATATGGGTTTTTCACTGGCCGATGCCGATATTTAAAAATCAGGGCAGCCGATGGCCGATATATGATGCCGATGTTTTTGGCCGATTTCCTTTTTTTTTTCTTCCCCTTCATCTCATAAAAGTGAGTTTGAGTAAATGATTATTGCAGGATACAAGATAGTAATAGTAGTAGTAGCCTAATTCAGAGTAATAATTCATGGCTCAAAACTTAAGCACCTTCTCAAAACAGTTCTGAAGCATGCTTTTTGTTTACGTTTGCTGACAGACACCAGGGTTTCTCACAGACTTGCAAATGCAAATTCATTCTCTGCCAGCAGGAGGCGCTGTTGGAGCGGAGATATAGCGGTTTCCCCGGTAACGGCTGTAATCAAATAAGCGCTACTTTATCAGGCATTACAGGAAAGACGAAATGAAAATGACATAGAAGCTTTTCTGAAGACGGTCGGTTCTTTTCACAGATACATTCATATAAAAACACCCGCGCTGCATTTTAATGTTGAAACGTGCAGTGCTCAGTTTATTCAAGGAAGTATAAGCCTTTTGGAAAATCTATTTGTGGCGGTCCGTCTGTTGTGACGAGCCGCCACCTCTCACGCAGCCAGAGAGAGATTCTCCGGCGTTCCGCAACAACGCTTAGCTGCCCGCAGATGTGCCTGCCTATAAATCGGCCTAATTTGCAGCACAATCGGCCTATGCCGATTAATTAACAAATGCCAAAAATCGGCCGATTAATCGGCCGGCCGATCAGTCGGTCGACCTCTAGATTGAGTTTGAGAGAGAGGAAAAAGCACCTTTACAGACCAGACAGAAGATACAATGAGTAATTTGCTCAATTTAATCCAGTTACATAACCATCATCACTGCTAGAACTAGAGCGCCATGAGGCATCACTGTCTTTATGCTGCCGAGAGAGATTCTCCGGCGTTCCGCAACAACGCTTAGCTGCCCGCAGATGTGCCTGCCTATAAATCGGCCTAATTTGCAGCACAATCGGCCCATGCCGATTAATTAAAAAATGCCAAAAATCGGCCGATTAATCGGCCGGCCGATCAGTTGGTCGACCTCTAGATTGAGTTTGAGAGGGAGGAAAAAGCACCTTTACAGACCAGACAGAAGATACAATGAGTAATTTGCTCAATTTAATCCAGTTACTTAACCATCATCACTGCTAGAACTAGAGCGCCATGAGGCATCACTGTCTTTATGCTGACCTGCCATTTTTAAACATCTTTTTACAGATCTTTTGTATATTTGACTGGTATTTAATGATGCAACCATGTTATAAGCTATAAGCTACCAATAGAATGTATTTAACATAAGTGTTCTCACCTCTAAAATATTTTCCTCCTTGCTGAGATCATCAGTCAAATCATACACTTGTGAATTTCCCACAGAACAATGATTGGCAGTTTTTGGAGTATTATAACAAACAAACGAAATGTGCAATAAGAATAACTGAAGCATTGATTAGGCATGTTGCGTCGTAGGCCTACTATTCTCAGGACAAAGTGAAAGTGAAAGTAATTTTTCGGTGGTTGTAAATATTGTGCAATAAGAATAACTGAAGCATTGATTAGGCATGTTGCGTCGTAGGCCTACTATTCTCAGGACAAAGTGAAAGTGAAAGTAATTTTTCAGTGGTTGTAAATGTATAAACACATTTGTTAATAATTTACCATTCAGATGTATAAAGGGTTAATAAACAACAAATCCAAGATTCCACTGTTGTCTGTCCTCTTCCATTCCACCGTATAACCGTCTGTCTCACGCTTCTTAGCTCTTCCTTGTTTGTGTTTATACCTTCATTTTTCACGTTTTTTTTTCTGGTTCTTCTAGTACGTTTCATCGTATCAGTTTGAGATTATTTAAAAATAGGCTACCGGTGCTGTCCTGTCGATCTGTTCTATGTGGGAATGAAAGTGCAGCAGTATTTGCTTACAGGAAAACCCACAGCTGAGCTCTGGAAAGTCCTGGAGATTCATGACATGATAATTAAAACTTTTAGTGCTTTGAAATGTTCAGTGTATTTGTGAATTAAAATATACAGTCCATAATAAAATCCATAATATTCCATTGTAAAAAATATATTGAAATTTGGTTGTGTAAACTGTCTGTGAGTTTCATGAAAGAAACAATTAGTGTTTCTGTTTCTCTCTAACTTTAACATCAGATAAAATATGAAATACTTGACCTTTGCTATAAGTTATGTAGGCCTATACATAATAGCTGGTCAGAACTTTACTGTAATAAAAAATGTATTATGTTCCTGCAAAAGTTTATAAACAAAAGTTCAATATAGGTCTTTCACAATATCTAAAATCCATTTAGACATGAGGTTAAAATGTAAATAGTGAGTTTTGTCACTGTAGTTGTTTATTTTGGATTAGCTCCTTTGTTTATATAAAGCTTAAATACTTCATCTATGAAACTGAGAGCTAACCTGTCAAACAGGTTTTTTTTTTTGCAGAGGGCATTCCTGTACTGAAAAGTCGAACATTTGTTTCTGTATGAAAAAATCTTTACTTACACAATTAAACACTTGAAAACAAGCGGTACATTTTGAAGATTTAAATCTACTAGCTTGAAGCCACTAGACATTAATTTCCAAAAACATAAAAAGTACAAAATGATAAAAAGCTAATGTAACAAATCATTATTATCAAGCCTGTTTGTTTGTGCAGCATTAACAATAGCCATTATTTGGTAGGCACCCAAAGCTAAATATTTAACCTGCCACCATGCACACAGTGTGGGGAACACATATGTAATAAAATTCATCTTCTTACGCACCAGTCCATCGAGCTTCACCCACCCCTGTAAACACGCTGGTATATGTGTGGAAGAGACTATAAATCTGGTTCTAATCCCGTCTTGAGCCGAAAACTCATTATGTCTGATGGTCCTTATGTGGGGCAGTAAATATTGACCTCTTCTGAATCATGAATAGGATACTCTGTGTGTCTGTGTGTGTGTGTGTGTGATGTCTGATGGTCCTTATGTGGGGCAGTAAATATTGACCTCTTCTGAATCATGAATAGGATACTCTGTGTGTGTGTGTGTGTGTGTGTGTGTGTGTGTGCTGGCACTCTCGCAAGTACATGCATATTGTATGCTTGTGTGTTTCTGTCTGTCCAGTTCTGCCTTTTTAGACTTCACAACATCAGTCAAGACAAAGTCTTGCATTCTCCCTAAGGTCTGAACCCAAACTGTCTAATGTGCTTAATGTGTCTTCGATCTCCCTATAGTCCTGCCAGCAATGCCACTATAGCCAGTCACAACACAAGAAGGCCTCTGATGATACGATTCCATATGGTGTGGCATTGACTGTTTGCCAAAAGCAGTTCTCACTCAGTACTTCTGCATGTCAGTTTGGTCTCTGTGCAGACAAGACATTGTGATTGTTAATAAGGATGCTGAATGCAGAAAAATACAGTTATGATCACAATTTGTAACAAATTACTTAAAAAGGAACTAAAAAAGGGAAATTATGCCATCATTTACTCATTCTCAAGTTGTTCCAAACCGGTATGAACTTATTTCTCTTGTTAAACACAAGAGAAGATATTTTGAAGAATGTTGGTGATTAAACGGTTGTCGGTCCCCATTAAAAACAATACTATGGAATGGGGACCAGAAATTTAGTTTCTTCAACAAATCATTCTTCAAAATATCTTCTTTCGTGTTCGCGGAAGGAAGAAATTCATACAGGTTTGAAATAACTACAAGGTGAGTAAATTATGACAGAATTGTCATTTTGTGTGAACTATCCCTGTAGGTTACATAGGCTGCGTTTACACTTGGCATTAACATGCGATCACCATGATCTGATCAAGCAGATCGGATCATCAGTCAATCAGGACACGGCGCGTTTACACTTGGCAACATCAGCTGACTTCTCGATCTGGATAACCGATCGGATCTGTATTTCTCGCGCAATATTTAAACAAGTCTGCTGTGCAAAGTCGACCTGAAGTGGTGTTTTTTTTTTTTTACTATTTTCAGTGGCGGGACATTTTACAAATCAAAATAAATGTACGAGTCTCACTAGCGCTCTGTTCTTCCGACAGATCGGGAGAGAGGGGGTGGCGGTTTGCGTGATGTCGACCTGTGAATGCAGACACGATGGCTGGTTTGCGTTTACATTACACTGAGATCCGATCACAATGCCTCCTCGACTACCTCTGGACAAGCGCGTTTACTCTTGTCTTTTCAATGTGTATGTGGACAACATCCGGATACAGCTCGCATGTTAATGCCAAGTGTAAACGCAGAGAGAACATAGTTGTGTAAGTGAGAATATGTGTTCATTGCCTATAAAAGTTGGTTTATTGAACAGTTAGCAGCACTAGTCACCTTATCTCTATGGCTCCGCTGATGAGCCCTGAACTGCTCGGGGTTTGTGAACATCTGTTGGCAGAATGGGCAGACTGACTCCGGGATGGTTTTCCATGGTACCCTTCCGACTGAATCTGGAGAGTTCAGTTGTTCTTCCAGGTGATCTGCCATTGTCCAGTGCCTCTGCTTATCCGTGTGTACCATGTTAATAACCGACGGTCTGTCGTTTCTCACCACTGCTGCATCGCTACGAGATCCAGAACCAGATTCTGCTCTTGATCTGCAATCTGATTGAAAAGCAGCATCTGGTTTAGTAGCACGGGACCTTAGAGGTGCGTTATCTTTCTCTAACCTCTGTGGCACCTCTGAGGTGTAGTCGTGTTGAGGCCTCTCCTCCTTGCCTGAGACTGAGTTGTGTGTGTCTCTTGGGAAAGAAAATGATATAACTCTACTCCTGTCCTCCTTGTTTTGATCTCCTGCCTCATTACTTATGTTATTCTTCACAGTCCCAGGTTGAGTGGGCCTCTTCTGTGACCCAGAGCCGTCCTGTTTCCCGTCTACATTAAACCTGACCAGCCCTGCACTCCAGTTTTCCAATGGAGGCACAGACAGCTGCTGAATGCAGTGGTGGAGAGATGGGTAGTCCACGTATTTAAACTTGGGCACCTTTTCCTTAGGACTGGCAGGCCTGTACTTTGGTGCCTTTGCCAACGAGCAGGATCCCAGCCAGCCGTTCAGTGGAGGCACAGAAAGCTGTTGGATGCACTGGTGCAGGGAAGGGAAATCCACATACTGGAAACGAGGCACCTTGCGAGGAACATCGGAGAGATCGTCTTTTCTCACACACATTTGTGTGGAGGTCTCAGGGTCACCCTGCTCCTTCCTGACCGCTCTATCCTCTGTGTCACAATTGGCTGAGGCAGAACGTTTGGCATTGCCACCTCCATCTGGTGGCAGGTGCCTCCTGTCCTCCATCCCTCTGACTGCACAATGGTGCTTTCGTCTTCTGTGACTATGAAGAGATATAAAATGTGATGATCTTATGAATAATATTAAGTATCCTAATCAGTTCTGTAAATCAGGACCAGTTTGGATTGTGATTAGTGTCTAATGAATATTCCGGATTTGGCATTTATGGCAAAAAAGGTGCGGTCACATTAGCAAAATTTGAGTGATAGAAGGTCCATTGTATATTGCCAACAAAGAAGTCACTTTCAAACCAAGTAGTTTTCTCATGGTGGATTGCGCCTGCAAAATTTTTCCAAGCAGAAGTAAATGTGATCACACGCTAATGTTAATTGACCACAAAAATGATTTAGATTCATCCCTGATTTTCTTAAAAAAATAAAAAATAAATAAAATTGATTTTATGACTAGGCACTAAATAGTAAATAGGGTCAAGTTTTAAAAGCAGAAATGTGAAGCTTACACTCTAAAAAATGCTGGGTTAAATACTACCCAGTGCTGGGTAAAATAGGGACAAACCCAGCAATTGGGTTGTTTTGACCCAGCGGTTGGGTTACTACCCAGAAGGTTGGGTTAAACATTTAACCCAACCGCTGGGTCAAAACAGCCCAATTGCTGGGTTTGTCCCTATTTTACCCAGCACTGGGTTGTATTTAACCCAGCATTTTTTAGAGTGTATAATTTTATAAAAGCACTTACATCAATTATTGTGTTAAAACAGTTTTACAGTTGATTTTGGGCTTTATGATTAATAATAACAACAAAGTTGTAAAACTGGTTACAATTTCACAAGGTTAGAAAATTCCGTGTATTTACGCTTTGTGGCTGCAACAGTGTGTATTTTAATGTTTCACAGATGAACCCCATTAATTTACTGTAAGCTATATTTTTGCTTTTTTAAGAAAAAAAGGAAACACCACGTTTTATTTTTATATTCATATTATTATTTTGTGGTAATAAACATTATGGCACAAGTGCTGTTGATTGAGCTTAACTTATATTCAACCCAGAATACTCTTCTGAAGCATATTTGTTCACGCAAATCAGCAAGAATCAACACGACTTTTTCTTTTGTGATAAATAACCCAGTTTTGGTTCAACTAAACTGTAATTCAGTCTCTAGAAATTCTGGGACAAACAAATAATTACAGATGTGGGTTGATCTTTATTACATAGATTAAATATAAAAAGGCATTCATTAGGCATTCATGCCTTGATATATGAAACAGGCTTCTACATGCATACAGGTACTAGACCCTTTATAGAATACAACTCACCCTCACTGCTCTCCTTGAGGGGGTGTAGATTTCACACTGTGTGGGTGGGTGGATGGCTGGGTGGGTTTGCTCTCCACAGGCCAGGCTGGGAAAATGATAATAACAACCAGATAAAAAAAAAAACTCAGAGATGGCAGGAGATGTGTACACATAAGTGTGTGAGCACTATAGAGAAATTGTCTATGTGTGTGTTCGTGAGGGGAGAGATGGTCTGAGTTGCTCCTGTAGCCCTGTGCCATGGGTATAAATAGCTCTGCAGGTATGGAGTAAAAGAGAAAAGTAGGTCAGCTTCAGACTGATCGCCTTCTCCAGGGGGCCCAAAACAAAATATCTGTCACACACGCGCGCGCGCGCGCACACACACACACACACACACACACACAACACTACAATCTTCTCTTTCTGTATTCACTGTGGTCAAAACCAAGAACACCCAATACTGCCACACAAAAGCCTAGGAGCAGCCCAGCCCACCCTGACTTCAGATCACAACACACACCTACTGAAATTGACACTGGTTCACTCCCCATGTGTAATCAACAGGTGAAGAGATGTGGTTTACCACCTGGTCAGCCCACAGGCTATACGTAAATGGAAGAATCTTTTTTTTTTTTAGAATCTTTTTTTTTTTTTTCTGATCTAGCACCAGTATCTCACAACCACACCCCAAGCATTATCTATAGTAAAAACATAAACAAAATTTCTCTTATATTACAAGAAAAGATTAACGTCTCAGTTGAGCCTGTGCTGAGTGAAAAAGCTCATGCTGTGCTTAGTTGTGAAATAAATATTTTCTGTTTTTTTTAGGGCTGTGGTCAGTAGAGAGACTGAAGGGCTGATTGTAGGTTTCAGGCAAAAAGAATTATGTATATAAAATAATGTTAATTATATATATATATATATATATAAATAAATAAATAACTAACAGTATATACAGTAACAGTATAACAATATATAACAGTTTTACTGACTTACTATACATGTTGTGTCAAAACAGTAACGAGTCGTGACATGCAAATACTTTTGATACCTTGTTGCTATTTTAAATAGCAAATTGGGTAAATGTAGCATTTCTTTCTTCTTTTTCATATTTCTAAAAGCCAACGAACATTGCCTGGCACAGAGAGAAAACACACACTGTAGAACCGCCCTGGAACCGTGCCGGGCGTGGGGGATAATAACCGTGCTCCACATTCACACTCGCTGTGTTGTTCATGAGGAACTGGGTCACGCGCCGTGGCCTACATTTTTAAGGTTTGTTTT